GCAGCCTAATGGTGACAATCATCTTGCGGTAGTTGTGGCTGACTAACGTGACACAAATTACCCTCTGGCTGCGTTCACTGACACAGATTTAAGGGGCGGCCAATTTATGACAGCAGGTGAGTTCCTCTTTGTGAGCTAAGTGGTTCCTCTGTCAACCAGGAGCATGAGAACATGTCAGAGAGAGGTCACAAGCCAACATTTATAACATCTCTAAGTTCAACATTGGTGGAATTCAGTCAAACATTAGTTTAAAATCTCCTGTAATAAGAATCAACCATGGTAACAATTATTTAACACAGAAGAACAGGATTTTTAGAATAATACATTAAAACTATACCATAATATCTCACTATATTATTATTATTATTATCAATTATATTACAGACACATGTTGACACTTTTCTGTGTGTTGAATTTTCCTGTTGCATCATATTGTATTGCACTGTATCATGTTGTATCAAATCAAAATAATGCTGCAATGTGATTGGCTGGTTGGATATTTGCATTAATGAGCAATTTAACACCTTTTTTGTAAGTGCAGTAAATGCCCCAAAACAAAAGCAGTGGGGGTTTGATGGTGGTAGAGGGTCGGGAATTTAACCAGACAACATTTTCTCCTTGAACACAGCTGTACACGCCACAGGAAACAAGTTCTATTACCCAACAGAAGGTGACTCTGTGGATTTACTTTCACATGAACTTCATTTGACTGAAAACCCCCCCCAAAAAAGCAGTTTGGATATTATTGCAGTTCCTAGAGGTCAGTGATTGGCTGGATGTTTTAAAAAAGACACAGAGACAAAACATGAGTTTTGTTCTTATGACCGTTGTCTGTTGTTGTGGCTAAAATCAGTCAAATATGCACTTTGTTTTTTTAATAAAAATTCACAATTTATTCTGTTTTGGTCTGAAATGTTTACCAGCTATATAACATTTGTTTTGTGCACAGACCTGGTGTTAAGATGCAAACAGACTGAATAAGTAACAGCGACAGAAAAGAAGAGAAATTACAGCAAATCAGTAAACAAGTAAGTTATAGACATCAACCAGTGTCACTGGTGCTCTGCATGCTCTGGGCCACCACTGGTTCAACTGGTTACTGCCAGTGAAAACAATGTTGAAAATTTAGCAAAAAAATTATCATTGTATTTTTTTTTTCATTAAAACAAAATCACAAAGTTATTTTTTTATAATCAAAAGTTTTGGCACTTTTTTAAACCATGGAGGAGAGTCCTTGTTGTTCCCTTGACATGGAAGACAAACAGCAGTGAAGGAAGAGAATTCATGCAGCAAGTGTGACATAAAAAAGTCACTACACAACCAGACAGACGATGAAGACAACAGTCGTCACTCCGGTTGTGGTAAAGGAGAGTAGAGCTGAGGGTTTTTGTTTTTACCGTCGTCCTGATCCAGCTGCTCCTTCAGGATTTTATCTTTTTAAACTTTTAACCAAAAACTGTAGTTTTTCTTCACATTCAGCAAAATTTGGATGGTTCCGTTAGCCTTATGGGAAAGGACTAACAATGACACAAAAAATCGGATGGTTGCGTTAGCCTGATGGGAAAGGACTAACGATGACACAAGATCTGTAAGAAAAAAAAACAAAACAAATGTTAGAATGTATATTTATCAGAAACAGGAAAATGAGCCACAAATGTTAGAATGTATATTTATCAGAGCTGTCAAATGATTAAAAAACATTTAATTGGAATAGTGACAGGAGAGCTGTGGATTTAATTTATCTCAGTTAAACACAATTAATTGAGATATATTGGTATTCCTAATATGACAAATAAACAAAACAACCTTTTCCCCCTTGTATAGTGCTGGAACAGAAAGACAAATAACAGATGGAAGATGATGAAATTGTGAAAAGGGAAATATGTTAAAAAGAATCTTCTTAAGGTAAAAAACCTTTCCATGCAGTTTGCGTAAATAACACCATACGTATTGACCCTGTATTAAAAAAAAGTTCACGAGTTCACATATTAATTCACTTTTGACACTTGGGCAAAAAAAAAAAAAAGAAAAACTTTGTGACAGTTCCACTCTTAAACAAAATTGATTCCAGTTGATGGTGCGAGAACATGGAGCCAAAACCTGGCAATTGAGATGCTGCTTTGGTTTTCACCTTGTCTTGTGATTGATAACCAGGTCGGAAGGTTTTATTAATGAAGCTGTTTAATATGTGAAGGACGCAGCACTTGTCTTCTTTCATGTCTTGGTGCACCTGCATAACACATCACCATCACTCTGATACCTCAGCCTGAGTTAAACCTGATTTTACACAAGTGCGTCAATACACCAGGGGGCATCAAACCCAATCACATCCAGGACCAAAGATGAATCTGGAGCAAACCTTAGAGCCACAATGGGGGAAAAAAAACCCCATCTAATTAACAGACTCAAAATTATGCACCATTTGCAAATTTATAAGAAATTAAAAATGAACACTAAAATATTAACGCAAAGACGACATCTTAATGCTGCACTGCCGTCATGAAATATTTATTACAACCTCCTGTTGTAGCAGCGCTCTATCTGAGGGTTTATTTGTTAGACCACAGCTTACAGAGCAGAGCAGAGGAGAGGGAGCCAATGCCACATCGGGACAGTGTGCCAATCTGTCACAGCGTCACATATAGAATTTACGCTCACATTCACACCAATACTGAGTGTCCAATGAATCCAATTCCCTAATGAGCGTGGTTTCAGGCTGTGGGAGGAAACAACAGCACCTGGAGGAAAACCATGTCACACAGGGAGAACATCCAGGGTTGAACCAGTGTTTCCAAAACATTTGCCACAGGAAATACTCATGGATAAACAGGATGCACGGAAACTATCACTCACTCTGCCTCACTGATCAAAACCTAAGCACATAGACCAGCAGGGGTACCAAGCTAACTTTCCAATTTTAGAAATTTTATTTTAGACTCTGCCTGTTTTATTTTTTAGTCACATGTTTTGCATTTAAATTGCACTGGGGAGAGACGACTCATTAAATATTCATCTTGTACTAGATGTACAAGGTGACAAAAAAAGACCAATGGTTTTTCTGCATAGGTTAAAAACAGAAACACAATAATACAATAATACTGTTAATGCAGGTTAGCAAAACAGACGTTGTGTATTATTTAAACAAACATAATTGTGTTGTTCACATGATGTGAGCCAGGGGACCTGAGCTGACCTGGACATGGGTGCAAACGAAGACGACGGATGGCAGAAAAAGTGCATGAACGAATGTTTCGTGTTGGTCAAAGTGTGGCGCCCATTTAAACCACCTGTGAGAGAGTTGTGTGGACGACTCTGTGACTCACTGCTGTCGTACCAGCGCCATAATAAGGTCAGACTAGTTGTAAGACAGGTTTAATTAACACAGCAGTGACTGAAGAACAGGAGTTATTACACATGGAGATGGATTTTGATAACTCAATAAACACAGATGACAAACTCTGATTTATCCAGCGTGCGCTCAAACTCCATTAGGTCTGAGTGCCTGTTTGGCAGTGAGGACATGTTTAATAGATGTGTGAAGAGATAAGAACTGTTTACCTTGGCTGTACGCTCTGGTGCTCCACTGTCAGTCCCTCTGTGTTATGTTCTGCCCCAGCAGTAGATCCAGGCTTAGCTGACACACACACACACACACACACACGCACACAGAGTTAAGGTTTTCCTCCTAATCTCGCCTCGATTCAGAAAAACGCAGTGGTTTCTGCTGCTTCACTTCTTCTTGCTGTGTCACATCCAATCAAAAAGCTCAGCTGGTTCCTGACAGGAAGTCGAACCAGACTCCATAACAGTGCCCCCCAAAAAAACTTAAAACCGTAAAATGAAAATTGTTATTCCCGCATAGTTGTGTTAAAGTGCATGAAGATCAATAATACTGTCAAAGTTTCCTCAGGTTTCTCTGTCAACACGTGGTGAAATCATCAGAATTCAATATTCCAGTTGTGTCCCTGTGGGTATTAAAAAGTATATTGTAGTACTTTTAGACCCTTACGGATTTATCTATGCATTTATCCATGATAATATACATAATTTATTAATGAAAGCCATTGAAACTACTTACAATGGGGTTATATAATTAGTTTATTAATGAAAGCCATTAAACCTACTTACAATGGGGTTATATAATTAGTGCTGCAGCTACATTATAGTATAAAAAATAGAATTAGTTTGTATCCAATAAATAACAACATTTACCTAGCAATAATGTTCTTTACTGTAGATGAAACTTTAATATTATGTATTTATGGTTAAATAATGTCAACTGCTCCAGATGCTTTACGGTAATATTAAAGACTGATTCATTCACCAGTGAATGTCTTGTGTCTGGTGTATTTTGGTTACCTTCCACAGTGGAAAATTAATCAAAGTAACAAACATGAAAAAAAAAACTCTTCTGTGTTCACTTCAGTGTCTTGTTTAAAAGAGAAGCCCAGGTCGTCCATACTGTGTCCTGCTGATGTACAGACTGAACTGAGCCAAATATGGTCATGACTTCAGGTGTATTTATGTTCCCACGAGGCCCTGCTCCTCTTCACAGTTTGTGTATCAGACTCTGAGTGAGACCTCAGCTGTGTCAGACTACAGTCTACAGACTACAGTCTACAGACTACAGTCTGAATGTACATGTCCTCCTGGGCAGTGTTAAGGTGAGGTAGATGACACTTTTTGTTTCCTTTTTGTTTCCCTTCATATTCCATCCTTCAATTAATAAGTTCGGTTGTTTTTCAAAAGTTTCAAAATGCAGGAATGTGAAAAAACAAACATAAATAAGACTCTTATTGCTTTGGTCCACAAACAATATAGAATCTCGTGACAGGCACTTTAGCACCACGTTAAAAAAACCAAATCAGTCCTCCCACCACATGGGGCGTCCTATCTTTCTACACAGAGCTCTCGTCAGGTCTGGGCAGAAGCTGAGTGTGTTTTCTCTTTTCTAAGATCCGGTTGAGCTCCTCTGAGAAGGAGTAACAGACAGGTGAGGAGGTCTCAGAGTCACTCTGTCTCAGCAGGACGTAGCTGTTCCCATTCATCCTCCTCAGGACGCTGGGCAGCGTAGCCGACAGTCCACTGGGGAAGTCGCAGTGTGAAGGCAGATGTTGTGGTGTAGGGGGGAGGGGAGGCGCGGGAGGAGGAGGCCCCGTGTTTAAAGAGGTGTGACCTCCGCCGGGTACAATCTGGAGGAGGCCTCCGTCGTGGACGTCACCGTTTTGCTGCTTGGAACCTCCATTACAAACGCCGTTTCCATTGTGGTGGTTGGAGATGGTCTTCAGCTCCATGTTGGAGGAGCTCCTGGCTGCTCTTCTGTTCTTGCTGTGCCTCCTGCTGCAGGGGTATGCCGCAGATGCTGCTCGTAAAGAGTACTTCCCTCTCTGACCCACACGGAGGCAGAAGCCCACGTAGACGAGGACAGTGGTGAGGACCACACACAGGCTGCCCAGGATGGTGATCAGGGACAGGTATATGGCCTCCATGTTTCTGGGGGAGAGCAGCTCCGAGCGTGGGAGCAGAGGAGCCACTGGTGGCGGCACAGGCCTCTCTGCAGACGTATGTTCAGTCGGAGCTGGCAGTGTGGGGACGAGGTCCTGAGGTTCTTCGTGAGGTTCAAGAGGTGGAAGTGGGGGCAGGTTTGGGTTGACAGTGACATTGTAGCTAAGTACGGGAACCTTGACGTTGTTCTCCACACCATGACAGGTGTACAACCCGCTCTGGTCCTGCTGCGCTTCGATGATCAACAGTCCATCTGTGCCGATTCGTAAACCTGAGTTCAGGTCGTAACCCTGCACCTCACTGCCGTCCAGAGTCCAGAGGGGAGTGGCCAGGTTGGAGCTGAGCTCACACTGTAGAAGCAGGTCATCACCCACACGCACGGAGCGGCTGCGCTGCATCACATCTGAAACAACAGAAAGATTACTGTGGGTTAGCAGCCTGGAACTCTCCCTTCTTTGACAGACACGAGTATAATAATAATAAGGTACAACATTACCAGTAAATGAAAAAACATCCTTGGGCATAAAACTCAACTCAAATGCCAAAACAAGATAAAAGTTAAACCTCCTGTATGTTTATATATGCAGCGAGTTCTGATAAAAGCAGCCAAAAATGGCAGGCAGGACAGTCAAGACAAAGAGGCTGTTTCTACAAAAACCAGACTATGTTGAAATTCAAACAGATTGAGGTCTGTCATTGGTGGATGCTCCTTTTATACCATGTCAACACCAAAAGTTGATACAGAATCATGTTTAACCAACAAGTTTGAATTATTCCAAATTATACCCAAATTGAAAAAACACGAGGGAAAAAGTTGTCACATTTTCTCAGACTAAACTGTGGGTGAACGTGATTTCAAACAGATTTCAGTGCAGAGATACTGAAAACGTGATTAAAGAAGGAATGAGAGGGTTTTGCCATCACTGTCAGAGTAATCAACGTTCAAAGAAGCAAGAAATTGTTTTGCAATCACTGTCATAATCAACGTTCAAAGAAGCAAGAAATTTAAAGATCCGCTCTCACAGCGCTCTCTGTGCATTTATTGACTGTGGTTTTTGTCAGGTGTTTATGTACCGTGTTGTACGTTCTCACAGCCCCTGCTGCCGAACTGAATGTCCTGGATTAATGTGGATCTGCAGAGAAAGAGAAAACAGTCAATGTGTGACATCCCTGCTGCTCTAGTCTGATCCATATCTCCATTTTTTTAAACTACTACACAGCTCTGTACTGACTCAGCATTGCTCTCCAGGTTAATGAGTGTCCTTTAAGTACACAGCTACACGCACTGTTATCACTTTGGCCGATATTTCTGCCAGCGCAGCGAGGTCGTTACACAACACTTCTAGGAGCTGACGCTGTGACAGGACACCGTGATACCTGAGGTTACCCAAACCAAACACACACTAAAGGGCACCAGCAGCACCTACATCACCTGATCTGACTCCAATACACACACACACACACACACCTGTCAGATTGGGTCATTATGTCCACGCACTGGGCGCCATTCCAAGCGCAGTGAGGATCCCTGGCAAAGACACAGTCGTAGCAGAAAGTGTATCTCTGGCAGTCGGAGAGTGACAGCTGCAGCACGCCTGACGGGGAGCCCACGTACACACTCATCTGAAGACACAGAGGAGGAGGATTTAATTTGAAGATACCGAGATTTGTCCGGAAACATTTGTGCCATTTGGCCCTAACGGTCACATGTGAAGGCTGAACAAACTACCTGTTGGGCAGAAATCAGAAGATTGTTCACAGGCTGTGGTTCCTCAAAGAGTTGAAGCTCTTGGATGAGGTGCAGTTGACCGTCGATTTCAACTGCCTTGTGTAGCCATCCTTCATCTGAGCCACACAGGCAGGGATTAACGTGGAGAAAATACCCTTTAATCTGACAAATGTATTCATACTCATGTAATATTAATATTCAAATAATGGAAATGAGAGAAAACTATTAGTAAATGTCTTGCATCAAATCTGCTGCATGGTTGAGTGAGTGTATGGTGATCAGTTCTTATTCATGAAGACTACCATAGATTATATATAAGAAACAGATGTAGAGACATCTGAGGCCATCAGTGGAGCACAGACAGTCTATTCTTTCGTTTTCTTTCGACTTAAGTCGTTTAAGTTAACAGATCTGCTGTGGATCACAGAACAAGTCATCTTAACAGATCTGTGGTGGATCACAGAACGATCATCTTCAACCGTAGAGTCACGGGTTTGTCAAGTGTAAATCTCTTGTGCTCACCTGTGCCCATGTACAGCACAGTGTACGTTTGTCCATCTAAGCTCTGGACCATGTGCACGGCCAACTGTGTGTAGTGTGTGGTCCTCCTAAACAGCAGGGGGCGTCTGTCTGCAGGCTGAATCTTCTGCGACATCAGTGGGTGCCTTCTCAGGAAGTCCAGCATGTCGTCAGGCAGCGAGGTGGAGTCATTGATGCCCCGCGCCCTCAGAGCCTGGGTTATACACTGTACAACAACAACAAAGGTGGTTCTCGATCTTTGCTTCTGCTTCTTTACATTAAAACAACCTAGGATCATTTCTACAAAGTAGCTTATCAATTCTGGTTGAGCCACCAGCGTTACCGTTCCAGGTCTGGGGTCCGGGATCTTTCCCATGTACTCCTTCCAGTTTGAGCCCGAGTCCTGGTTCTCCATGTAGGGTCCTTGGAAGGCCTCTTGCACTTCAGTCAGAGAGAACCGACACACAGCAGACGCCTTCACGTTTTTCCTAAAAGCATCACACGCACGCACACACACGCACGCACACAGTGAGAAAGACCAGGACACATTCTCCCCACAGCAACATCAGTAAACGCAGTGTTTCCATAGAGACGGGAGTAGAACTACAGTAGCATCACCTAACTGAGATGTTTAAAAGAAACAAATAGGAGGAACAAACAGAGTGGAGGGAGAGAGAGGGAAGTCGTACGTGTCTGAGATTCCTGCGATGGAGACGAAGACTACAAATAGTTCTTCCAGGGAAGACGTAGGTTCTTAGTCAGCACAAGAGTTTTAAAAAAACACATTTGAAAAAAAAAAAAAAAAAAAGAAAAGAAATGTTATCACAGTTCTCCGCGGCTGCAGTGATGTATTTTTTTGTGTCTCATCTTCAGGTCCAGGTGCTGACAGAAGTGTCTGCTCACTGCACCAGGAGAAGGACTGCAGCTGGAACTATTGTTTAAAACTATTTACATTAACTCTGTACAAGGCGTATATGTGGAGACCAACTCCCTGTTGCCATAGTAACCACAGATCAAACAAGACGGAAGAACAACATTGGCATTTTAAAATTAAATCTGTTTTTGGGTCTGCTGCAGATCCTTTTTAATCCTTCCCTTATTTTCCCACAGTTTGAATAAATAAAACGAACTTCTTTGCACTTTGTCTCCCCTCCCTAACTCTCACGTATTGATTGCCCTCTTTTCATCTTCGACTCCTAACGGCACCTTCACCAGAACAGAATTTCAAGACAACACAGAAATTCGCATCTCACCACTCCAGGCCGAAGATGCCGTAGAAGAGTGTGTCCTGTGGCGTTTGTCCTGGCACGACGAACACACTGCGTAACATGTTGAAGTGGAAGTCGTACTCGGACAGAGAACACATCAGTCTGGCCTTCAGGAAGGACGTCCAGCGCTTCTGGAGAGTTAAGCGGCCTCCGCGGTCGCCCTGAGGGGATACAGTTTCAAAATGGATGAGGGACTTAAAGGAGTCATAAATACTGTACATGGTGTCGTTCACACCAGGGGGATTAAAAGCTTGTAAAGAGCCTAAATACAGCAAAACAACAACACAGTGATACAGTACCAGTCACTAAGTGTTTGAATAAGACACAAATTGCAAAATTGTCCAAGCAGATTATTGTAATTGTAGCGAGATGAGAGATGACATCACCATCACACTCAGTGGTCAGACTGTAGCAACAGTGAACGTCTGTGATGTTGATACACCTTCAGGCTGGATGTCCATCAAATGCAGTGATGTGGTGATGATACACTATAGAAATTTCACTATAGACCTCATTCTCTACTGAACAAAATTACCAAGTCATTTTTCATTAACAAATATTATAAACAGATGGAAAATGAACCTCCTTCTCTTTTCCAGATTTATGTAAAGGTCCAATGGATGTGACATATTAGTTTCTGGCTTTTAACTAACTTTTTTTTTCTGAGGAATACTGTGAGCACCCGGAGATTTTTAGTTTTTTTTAAGTGAATAATTTATTTGTGATTTATTGTCCTAACATGTTTATCTTCTAATCCTAGGAGGACTGCTGCATTTGCATTAATAGAAGTTGATACTACGAAATGATTTGTTGTTTTAAACTGGATTTGAGAATACTTATTAAAAGTCGTACTTGGTAGAATAATTTCCATAATAACCAAATCATTAACATAATAATAGTAATCACATTATATCGTAACGTAGAGAGAGGTGTCACCTCTAAACAAAGTACTTCCTGTCTTCTCCACTGCTTCACAGCAGTGACGCAGCTCTGTAGAGTTCTGTGTGTGACCTATGATCTGTCCCAGAAAGTTTTACAGCAATCACTGTAGGTTAACACACTGACAAATCACATACACGTTACTCAAAAAAAAAAGTGACGGATGAACAATGCTGTTTTCTTGAAGCTATTCAACCAGTGGCAAATTGAAAACTTGCTGATGCAAGTGATTTCGAGTGAGACAAAAAAAAACAAAAAAACTCCAACCAAACTTCCAGCGAGAGAAGTGAGACTGTGTCACTTTTAGATGCCACGGGGGGGAAATGACAAGATTATTACGCTGTACAGTCGGTTCCCTCTGTTCTCCTGAGCAACAAAGAATGTAAATCATTCAAATATTAGCCAACAGGGAGGCACAGATGCTAAACAGTCAGCCTTTCCCCTGCAGTCACACCAGCCCTCTGGCTCTGAGGCACAAAGACTCTGCAACCCATTCATCATCCGCACTGTTCTCCTGAGGCCTTGTTACAAATGTATTCTCCGTGAAGCCTCTCATCTGTTACTGCGCACTCTCCTCTCATCAACCGCCGCATCACTTATCACAGCTCCGCTCTCGGATGCGAAATATGTTCCTGCATCTCCTTGAAATGTACCCTCACCTTACAAACCCGAGCCACCCGCGCCACCCTGCTGGAGCTGTAGGCTGTTGTCTGCTCCTGGCTGCGCTCAGTGAAGAAGAAGTAGATTTTATCATCGTCTCCAGTGCTGCTGCTCAAACTCTCCCTCACGAGTGCAGAGCCGACAAAGTCTGCCTCTGTGTTGGACAGAAAAAGGACTTAGTTCAGGGATGTCGAATAATGAAGAATTTTTTAAAAATTGAATTAATCACAACGTAGCTATAGATGAATCATTTTTAATCATGTTTTTTTTTCCATGGCACATTGAACCCAATTTGCTACAGAACACCAGCATGTGATTGTTTCACTGGGCAGTGACAACAGAGCTGATTTTATTACCACCAAACTGATCCAAGGTCTTAAATTAAAAATTCATCATGCAACATCAGGAACGCCGTGTCGTGGCAACAGGCTCGAGAAAACCCCCCCCCAAAAAAAACAGTTTGAAGGTCTCTAGTTTGCACTGCCTCATAGCTGAACTTTACTGAACACTGAATTAAATCTTTCAGGCTAAAATATTCATAGCATGTTCAGGACTCTGGAGCTGAAAGTTCTTTTTTGTTACTTCGGACAGTAGTAAAAAAGCTGAATACCATGGAAGCTGAACTCTCTGTTTTTACTACAGACTGCTATAAGTCTCTCTCACCGTTGAGCCAGCGTGTGGGGGCGTCCTCTGTCCTCAGGGTGGGAGGTGGAGAGTTACGGCGAATATCTGGAAAACTTCTGAATTCATACTGGGAGGCTGAATACATCTGCTGGTCTGAAGTTTAAGGGTGTTAATTCACTCCCTCTGCCAAACTCAGGAATTAACTGTCAACTACTGAATGGCTTACCTATGATGAGGGCGGTGTAGCCTGTCGTCGGGCCATATGGACATTTGTCTTTGCCCTCCTCAGGCTGAGCAGAAATGACAAACTTCTGCTCATCCTGAAACATCAAGTGGCAACAGGTGAGACAGTTTGAGATAGTAATTAAATATGACTGATTAATTTATCAGCAGCAGATGGACTGTCAGCTGCTGCGCATGAACATACTATGTAAGCACAGAGCGGCCTGAAGGCGTGAGTGCCGCACGTGTAGAGATGAGTGGAGTTGAACCTCTGGAGGAAACGGATGTGATTGAAACACTCGGTCTGGAAGAGTAGGTAAAATAAACCAACAAAACAAAGGTTGCAGTGAGTAGAGAGTGATGTGAATATTAAAATATATCATACACAAAACATAAATAAAGGACAGACAAACGACAGTGAATTCCTACCTCATTGTCTTTTCCCTTCAGCAGACACTGCTGCTTCTGGTCAGAGGAAACCTCCCAGTTAATCTACAACACACCATGGTACACACAGGAGACACATATATTATATATATAAACATTTATAAATATATATTATATATAAACATATATAAATATATGTACAGTACATATTCACATCCCAACTTTCTGCAAAACTTAGTCCATGAAGCAGCTGAGAGTAAACAGCAAATGTGTGACTTAATGTCAAACTAACACACTGCAAACGTTCGTAAAGAAATACTAATTGTATTTGAATCCTGTTATACAGAAAAAAAAACAATGAATAGGCCAGATCTCTTATTTTAAACACAGCGTTCATTAAATTATTTCTGTTTTTCTGTAGCTAAATTAGAATGAAATCTGAAGACACATTATTCCAATCATTTCTTTGTTCATTTTCATGAATATGAATGTTTATGCAGCAAAATGTCCCTGTGGTTTCACTGAGAGCTATTGTGTTTATCTTTAAAAAAAGAAGAAGAAAATTTAGAATGTGTACACACACAATACACAGGAGGTGGAGGGAATATGAACACTCCTGCCTGAAAATGTTGTTATATGCAAATCAAGCTGTGGCAGAGCTGAAGACACGGTGGCCGAGGTACAGAACATACAGCCACATGGAAACAAAACAAACTCACAGTGAGGGCAGAAGTGGCTGAAATGTCAGAGGCATTGAGACGGTAAACAACGCCCCGGGCTCCGACGTAGAGATGCTCGCTGTCAGCCTCCAGCAGCATGGTGCTGTAGTTGACGGTGGAAGACTGGAAACGCCTGCAGCCCCGGAGGCCTGAGGAGGAGAGGAGAGGAGAGGAGAGGAAAGGAGAGGAGAGGAGAGGAAAGGAGAGGAGAGGAGAGGAGAGGAAAGGAGAGGAGAGGAGAGTTAAAAATACAGCAACGATGACTTAAATTTGCCCAAAAAGGGCAGAAACAGCAGGACAAAATATTCAAAAATTGTTACTTACAATGTAAGCTATAAATAAGTCACGGGGACAAAATATTCAAAAAAAATATTCAAAAAAAATATTCAAAAATTGTTACAACTTACAATGTAAGCTATAAATAAGTCACTCACTTCAACAAATTAGTTTTGAACATCATATAGTTTCATGGAAAAATAACCCTCGGAATTTTCCAAATCAAGAGTTAATGATAAAAATTCATAATTCAATAATATTTATTTAATTGCTAACTTGGAATTACATTGCACAAACACTGCTCTGCTGCTATTATATATTTTCTGCTGATAAAAAAAAAAACCCTCCACTTTCTAAACCCCTCTGCCTGTTTGAGACTTTCACTCCATATTTGTGCTGATGAACAAAGTCACGCTCACTGAGACTGTGGGGCCCAAAAGATTAAAGATTAAAAAAAACAAAACAAGAAAACATCTAAATCTATTCAGTTAAACGATGGAGTTCTCTGCAGCCTAGTTCCTTGATTCTGGCTTTAAAAGATGAACGTCTTTTTTTAGACTGCTGGGAAAAATGCCTTCTTTTGTAGCAAAGCTGCACAGAAACACTCTTTATGTAACTTCACAGTTCTGTGCTTTGAGACAAAAATGACAAAAGAAAAACCCAACACAATAAATTAACAGAACTGTTCAAATGAATAAAATCAATCATCAAACTAATTAAGAGCAGCTTGTGACAACTGTGGTGCTGTGGTACTCATTCATCAAACTATAATACAATAAGTGCTGATTGGATGCTTGAAAACATGTGACAACAGTTTGTCTAACTGGAACTGGCTCTCGCTGTTACTTAGTTTTTTCTCTCCATTAAGACAACAGAGGTTTCTAAACTATCCTCAGATATGAATGAAATAATCAGTTGAAATAAATAGTTGTTGGTCTTTGATAAATTCTCGCACATATAGAATCACCCACTGACTGCTGGGAGTGGCTTTAGTCCCACACAACCCTAAGAAAATAGCGTTAAATATGTTTTATACCATTTTAATCATCCTGTTAATCTATCCTCGCCTCTTTTGCTAATGTTTGTCCCATTTTCACGTCACCCACGTGAAAAATAAGCACAGTCTGACTGAAACCAATTCTAATGAGGTCATTATTCAGGATTAATGAATGGTCATTTTTAATACTAATGCTGAGTCAAATTTCACATTCATCTGCCCTTATGTTCACAGTTTTATTCAAATGTGAACAATAAAATCAGTGATTTCTGCGCAGTATATTAGTTTAATAAAAAAAAAATTTGAATAACACAAATTTAAAATGCAAAAATGTTTCATAAAAAAACCAAAAACAATCAGCAACACATTCCGTTTTTCTCTGCCCCATTCTGTGCACATGACTGGTGTAGATAGATACCATTGTCAATGAAATCTATTTTTCAATGACATGACATGTGTTGTGCACATTTTTCCCCACAATCTTGAATGGACCTTCATCTGCACTCAGGACAAACTCCACTGATTTCACCAGACAGAGTCAGAATTCCAAAACCCTCCATCGTCCCCATCTCTCCCCGCTCAGATCACTACAAGATTATCAAGTGAGCTGCTGTTAAGATTCCCATCAGCTGCTGCTGCTGCTGCTGCTGAAACACAACCTACTCTGCTCTCTCCAGCTCCAGCCGTGCTGCTGGTGGCAGTGGAATCTCATCACAGTCGGCACCTGGTTGATCAGGAGTCTCCGTCTGCTCCTCAGCAGGTGACACGCTTATGACTTCCAGAAACGCTCGCTTCCCATTCTTACGTGATAAGTATGTATTATTGTGAGAAGTGTAACGGAGATAATACCCATGTTTCCCCTGTGTGTAATCCGAGTATCACGATGCACAATACCTATTGTGTATGTGAGGGGCCAGACGGCAGGAGCAGGGTAACACAAAACATCCGCACTGAGGGAGTTGGACCTCGGAGGGAGATTTGTTTGCAATAAATGGAGACATTTTGGCCTCAGTTTTCCAGACTGTGCGTCAAAGGGAACTTTGTTTTGTTCTTTAGGGACAGAACAAGAAAGAGAGGCGTAAGAGGGACATCGGCTCATCATCACAGAACACAGTGTTCAGGTGTAATCACACACACGTGCAGACACACACAAACACACACACTGTGTGAACCCAAAGGCGTTGGACTGTGATGTGACAGTCTTACATAAAAGTTTACCCTGCAGCGCCGGGGCCTGTGTACAGTTCAAATGTTCTGACAGGAACCGACAGACTGGACAAACAAACTCAGGTCAGCTGACTCTGAGCTGCCGGTGCTGCAGGTTACAAAGTTCTTCACTCAGCTGACTCTGAGCGGCCGGTGCTGCAGGTTACAAAGTTCTTCACAAGTGAATAAAATCCGTACAGTGCTAACAATATTTGTAATCATTCCAAACTGAGTACTGAAAAACACAGACTCCAGCCTTTTTCAAATAACATTTTCAAACCAGCAGTGATGTTTGACTCCTGGAGGACGACCTCATCTCCAGGTAAAGTTTAACATTTAAGAGGTTCATGAGAAAACGCACCAGGATAAAACTCCACGGCATTAATCTGAAAAAAAAAAAGGCCACAGCATTTCTTTAATTCCCCCAAGTTTCCTCTGCTCTTGTGAATTTGTCCCATCAAAACAAAGTCCTGCTGCACTTGTTATACAGACATGGAGAAAAATCTAGAAAGTCTGGACCCATTATACAGATCTCACTCTGACCTTATCTCTGAGCACGACTTAGTTTGAGCGTCTCGTAGCCATAAATAGATCAAATCAATAACAAGTACTTTACTACTAAAAGGTGAATTACTGCCAGGACACAGGGACTGGAGGTATGATGAATTAAATAGAAAGATATGTGAAAAAGTAAGAATTGTGCACGAGACAATTTTAGATGGGAGACGAGGTTAGAGAGAGAGTGATGGGGGGCAGAGTGGAGGAGGACCTGGTTGCTTCAGACAAACTGATGATGTATAGAAACTGCACAAGATAAAGGTATTAAGAAACACACCGAGCAAGTGAGAGAGTATTGTGAAAGGAGAGATGACTAATAAGTAAGAGAAGAAGGAGGATATTGTTCCACACGGTAGATTGCATAAGCAGATTTGGCTGCAGGTCAAACCTGAAATGATGAGCCTCAGTTTTACAGCTCTGTTCGTCTGCACACACACCAAAAGGTCCTGGAGCGAGAAAAAATGGGACCAGTAAAGAAGACAAATATACTCACTTGCCTATACATCTGCAGCAAAAAGAAAAAAAAAAAAAAAAAAACAACACCGCGAATGACCATCTTGTGCCATACAATGACAGTTGTCATGGTTACAATGCTCCTCAACTCCTTAACAGTGTCAGTCTCCCTGGATACTCTACAGAGATTCAAAAGTAACCACATTTTTCCTGTCTCCCTCTCTGTGACCTCAGGTGCGTGCCATCAGTCAAACGCAGTTTTTTATTTATTTTTCAGATCCTTGTACATCTTTGTACAGGAATCCAACAGCTTTCAATTGTTGGATTTTTCCTGTATTTTATGTTTTAAGACAATAGTTTATACAAGGTTAAGGTTGAACTTCACTGATCCTGCACTGGTGAAATTATTGACCACAATAACAGTTACGTACATTTCTAAGACAAATTTCAAATGAACTGACCACAATAACAGTTACATTTCTAAGACAAATTTCAAATGAAGCCTAAAAAAAGCGTAAAAAAAGAATTTTAGCCAAGGTTCATTAATTACAGGCAGCCAATAGTTGAAAAAGTTAATGGTTTATTTTTTATCATAATAAAAGTTGATAAATTGACTGCAGCAAAGATAAACCGACAGCGTTCAGTCTCCTCACAGCCTTGACTCCTTCCCTTCCCGCCCTCACATTACAGCCACTACCGAACTGCAGTTAGCGCAACACGTCTTTTCTGATTGGATGTTTTTTCAGCGTCAGCGAATGACAACACAGCTGCCATTTGAAAAGCGTACCAAGACAAACTCTCGAGAACATTATCTCCTGTTTCTGGACAGATTTCTTCAAATTTTATGAGCTTTTAAAATTGGAAATTTTCGACATGAAACTATACCAGATGTCTAGATGTAGTTTTAATGTCCAAACCACAGGTACTGAAAAGCTTCAGCACATCAGTGTAGAAAGAAGCCAGGAGGAAGACGAGAAAAGAACTGACCGGTAGAAAACGGAGAGATCAAATTAAAGGTGTTGTAAACAAGTAGAAAAACAGCAGCTGCAACAATAAAGAGAAGGGAAAAGAGAAAAGTTCTGCAGCAGATAAAAAACGAAGCACTGCATAAACATTTGATTTTCATTTCATCCTCAAGCACTTGCCTATTACACAGTTCAATGTCCTGGAGTGGATCATAAAGATAGTTTGCATATTTGACAATGTATGAATATACAGGACCAGAAACTGTCGCCTCATGATGAGCTGCGGAACCGGAAGATTGGGGACGAATCCCTGAGTTTTTTCTACTGCCACTACCGACGTGCCTCTTGGGAAGATACTTCAACCGAGCATCTGTGCTGTGGTGAATGGGTCCAATAGATGTGAAAGCACAAAAACCCTGAACAGTCATTAGAGGAAATGAACCTGGGATTATTCCAGACTACTGTGAATCTGGAAGAAAAAAAAAGGAAGCCATTGTCTCCATTCTTTCTGCCAGTGTTTATGCCGTGCTGTTAGTATTCGTGTTCCCATCTGGAGGACATCACAAGTACAACAGATGAAAAAAAAAACTTTGTTGATATCCCTTTTTCAGCCTTTTCTTAAATGAAAATATAATTTAATTATTAAAATAAACATTAGCAGAGGTTTCTACCAATGTAGACAACCTTAATTTATTCATCTTTACAGAGTAAAAGAATCAGACTGGGTCTGAGATTGACCTCACAACCTTCAGTTGTTCAGTTTCAGCTCTACGTCGCAGATAATTACTTCCTAATGAGCCCTTTATTTATATTATATGAAGGAATATCACTCTGCACCAGAGGACCTTCATTCAGGTTTGCAGCCTCGACCTCATCTTTGTGCCAATTAAAACTTGCTAGAACTGACAGGGGATGAAAAACGCATCACATTATTGCATTGCAAAGTAGAAATGAATGCGTTTCTGTTGACCGAAGTGAAAGATTAAAGAAACCTCCACTCCCTGGTCTTAAAGAGACTCTTTCTCTGAGATTAGAGAATCATGTGTATCCCGTGCAGTTACCTCGGTTGAACACTGTGATTCGTGGAGTCACGTCCAGGTCCAGGGGCGTTTTGAACGGGTAACCCGCTGCCACAAACACACAGTAGGTCAACAGCAGGACCTGCATCACTGCCGCACACCCCATGGTGGTCAACCCTCTTGGACCACTTCGACTGAGGCACTCAGGCAAACATGTTCCCTCGGACAGGATGGACTGAAGAAACCTGAAAGATGAAAATAAAAAGTGTAAGAAAACGAATTAAAACATATGAAATAAATCAATCAGTAAAGACCATGTGATGTTACTGAGGAGGCCACAAAAAAATTCCACAAAGTAGATGTTGACCACAGAGGTCTGACCCAGTAAACAGGTTGATCTGCAGGATTTCACATGGATTACGACACAGACACGAAAGAGATGCGAGAGTGCATCTCACTCAATAAAATATTAGGCGCAATTCTTTCAGAAGATCAATGGAACGGTGGAAGTGCTGTGTGAATATGTGTGTGTGTGTGTGTGTGTGTAGCAGCAGCAGCAGCCAGTCCAAACAGATGACTGGGATATCGCTAACCAAACAACGTCTGTCAAACAGAGTTACGTGCTAACGGCACACGCAAACACTTGAGGATTAAACGGCCATGTGGAGAGAATCCCGATCGATGAGAGTGTGAGGCCACTTAAAGCATCAGCAGCAGCAGCACACACACACCTGAGACACACACACACACACACAAAACCCAAAGCTGTTTGATATGATCATATCAGAGATGTGTGTGTGTGTGTGTGTGTTTGTGTGTAATGTGAATGCCAATGTTGTTACCACAGAAGAATGAACTCATCGCCAAAAGTGAAGGGAGGGATAATGTGTTTGTGTCCAATTTTGGTGACGGCTCTCTCGTCTCTTTTTGTTTCACACATTTACACTTACACACAATGGCACACAAACACACACTCGCTCTCTGGGTAAACAGTCACACTCTTTAATGCCTTTCATTAAAACAAACCCAGCCTTTCAAGCCCCAGAGAGCTGAAGGTCCAGGCGTTCCCATCTATAATGACCACACACACATGCACAGACACACGACACAAATCTATTAACACAGAGTTGGGGATGGAACAGAGAGGAGCAGGGGAGCACGGGCGTTAGCACTGCAGTGGAACAGAAAGTCCCTGCAGTGGCTGAGGGCTGACACTGACGGTGGTTGGCTGGAGAGCTGCTGCTGCTGCTGCTGCTGCCGCTGCTGCTGCTGCGGCTGGTGCTGCTGTCTTGGTGCACATGCGGCA